CATGCTTGTGGTCCCACTGTAATTTTTTTCTATTTAAATTCTAGTTAGTTAACATATAGTGTAATATTGGTTTCAGTAATACAATTAGTGATTCATCCTTACATATAACACCTACTGCTCATCCCCATTAAGTGCCCTCCTTAATGCCCATCACTCATTTACCCCATCCCCCCCATCCACCTCCCCTCCAGCAACCCTCAGTTTGTTGTCTGTATTTAAGAGTCTCTTATGGTTTGCCTCCCTCTCTGCTTTTGTCTTTTGTCTTATTTTTCCTTCCCTTCCCCTATGTTCATCTGTTTTGTTTCTTAAATTCCACATATGAGTGAAATCATATATTTGTCTTTCTCTGACTGACTTATTTCACTTAGCATAGTATATTCTAGTTCCATCCACTTTGTTGCAAATGGCAAGATTTTATTCTTTTTCATCACCGAGTAATATTCCATTGTGTATATATTCCACATCTTCTTTATCCATTCATCAGTCAATGGACATTTGGGCTCTTTTCATAAGTTGACTGTTGTTGATAGTGCTGCTATAAACATTGGGGTGCATGTGCCCCTTTGAATCAGCATTTTGTATCCTTTGGATAAATACCTAGTAATGCATTTGCTGGGGCGTAGGGTAGTTCTATTTTTAATTTTTTGAGGAACCTCTGTACTGTTTTCCAGAATGGCTGCAACAGTTTGCATTCCCAACAGCAGTGCAAAAGGGTTCCCCTTGCTCTGCATCCTTGCCAACATCTGTTGTTTCTTGAGTTGTTAATTTTAGCCACTCTGACAGGTGGGAAGTAGTATTTCATTGTGGCTTTGATTTGTATTTCCCTGATGATGAGTGATGTTGAGCATCTTTTCATGTGTCTGTCTTCTGAATGTCTTCTTTGGAAAAGTGTCTATCCATGTCTTCTGCCCATTTCTTCACTGGATTATTTGTTTTTTGGGTGTTGAGTTTGATAAGCTCTTTGTCAATTTTGGATACTAACCCTTTATCTCATATGTCCTTTGCAGATAACTTCTCCTATTCTATCAGTTGCCTTTTAGTTTTGTTGATTGTTTCCTGTGCAGAAGCTTTTTATCTTGATGAAGTCCCAGTAGTTCATTTTGGCTTTTGTTTCCCTTGTCTGCAGAGACATGTCTAGTAAGAATTTGCTGTGGCCGAGGTCAGAAGGGTTGCTCTCTGTTTTCTCTTACAGGATTTTGATGGTTTCCTGTCTTATATTTAGGTCTTTCATCCATTTGAATTTATTTTTGTGTGTGGTGGGTGTAAAAAAGTAGTTCAGTTTCATTCTTCTGCATGTTGCTGTCCAGTTTTCCTAGCACCATTTGCTGAAGAGACTGTCTTTTTTCCATTGGATATTCTTCCCTGCTTTGTTGAAGAATAGTTGGCCATACATTTGTGGACCCTTTTCTGGGTTCTCTATTCTGCTGCATTGATCTGTGTGTCTGTTTTTGTGCCAGCATCATATTTGATGGTTACAACTTTGTAATACAGCTTGAAGTCTGGAATTGTGAAGCCTCCATCTCTTTGGTTTTCTTTTTCAACATTGGCTATTTGGGGTCTTTTCTGGTTCCAGTTTTAGAATTGTTTGTTGTGGCTCTGTGAAGAATGCTGGTGTTATTTTGATAGGGATTGCCCAGTGTGATTTTGAATTGTGTTTCCCCTTCTCTCTCAGAAGTTTTCAGTTTGGACAATAAGTTCATCATCCTGTCAATCAAAGCTTAATCCACAAAGACTGACATGGTAGGTGGGGTGTTGAGCAAGAATAGATGTTTCTAGGTGGTCAGTCTGTTCATAAACACTTTTATGTTAGGACTTTCCCCCCCCTACAAAACCTTTGTAATACATAACAAAAGAGATTCCCTTAATGTGAGTCTTGGGTAGCAGCCACGCTGGCAACCAATTTATATTGGTTCGTTGTGGTTTTGAATTAGACATGAACGTGGTGTTTCCCTACTTCACCAAGAAGTCAGCTGTGATCACAGCACTGAGGAGTGTTTTGTGGAACAAGGGGCACAGACATCTGGTAGTCCTCAGAGGGTACTATTAGCATCCGTACTTCCTGGCACCTGACAGTGGGGAAAGCATCTCAGGATCTCTTTAAGTCTAAACAATGAGGACATACTAATGTTTTAAAAGATGAAAGTCTATAAACAGAATTCGTTGGACTGGAATCTGTTACCTTCTCCTTCTTTATATGCTGTAACCTGGAGTCCTCATTCCTCAAGATTGAATACCCTTGTTTAAACAGTTGTTCTTCTCCAGCTTATTAAAGAGCTTTTGTGCAAGGGTGGTGGCCATATTCTCAAAGAATCTTACTTGTGACTGGTTACTGTTAAAAAATGAAGTAAAAACAAAGAATGTGGGTTTCTCCTTACCTGTGGCATAAAACCTATGTATGTTTGTATTTCTGATTATATGGTGGCTAGAGAGAAGACACAAAAACTGAAAATTCTATTCCCCATAATGTCCTATAGCCTGAATAGGTAGTGTTGGAACTTTATTTATGGAATGTCTAAAAGAAAACAAGACCATCAGAAAACGCAAACATTGGAAACCTTCGCTGCCTCTTTGAGTCTGGTTGTAAAAAGAGCACAAAGCCAACAGTACAAGAGGGTTCCCATTTCTCCACGTCCTCTTCAGCATCTATAGTCTCCTGATTCGTTCATTTTAGCCACTCTGACTGGCATGAGGTGGTATCTGGGTGCGGTTTTGATTTGTATTTCCCTGATGAGGAGCGACGTTGAGCATCTTTTCATGTGCCTGTTGGCCATCTGGATGTCTTCTTTAGAGAAGTGTCTATTCATGTCTTCTGCCCATTTCTTCACTGGATTATTTGTTTTTCAGGTGTGGAGTTTGGTGAGTTCTTTATAGTGTGGAGGTTCCTCAAAAAATTAAAAACAGATCTACCCTATGACCCAGCAATAGTACTGCTAGGAATTTACCCAAGGGATATGGGAGTGCTGATGCATAGGGGCACTTGTTTCTAGCAACACTTTCAACGATAGCCAAATTATGGAAAGAGCCTAAATGTCCATCAACTGGTGAATGGATAAAGAAGTTGTGGTTTATATGTACAATGGACTACTACTTGGCAGTGAGAAAGAATGAAATGTGGCCTTTTGTAGCAACATGGATGGAACTGGAGAGTGTTATACTAAGTGAAATAAGTCATACAGAGAAAGATAGATGCCATATGTTTTCACTCTTATGTGGATCCTGAGAAACTTAACAGAAGACCCGAGAAACTTAACAGAAGAAGAAGGGGAAAAAAAAAGTTACAGAGAGGGAAGGAGGCAAACCATAAGAGACTCTTAAAAACTGAGAATAAACTGAGGGTTGGTGGGGGGTGGGAGGGAGGGGAAAATGGGTTATGGGCATTGAGGAGGGCACCTGTTGGGATGAGCACTGGGTGTTATATGGCAACCAATTTGACAATAAATTTCATATTAAAAAAATAAAAATTGGAAAAAAAAAAAAAAAAAAGCACAAAGCCTTGAATTGTCCCAGTGCTGGGACTTTTCTTTCATTACCATAGGATGGAAGCTGTTGTCTGACAAAGAGAGTTGGGTGGGATTAGAAAAAGAAGCCGCTAATTTACTTCTCTGATTCCTGTCATATTTATTGTCTGTACTGGAGCAGTAATCACCTTATTCAGTAATTGTTTTACTTACAGTACCATTGTCTCTCCAAGGAGGGCTATGTTCTCTTTAAATAAGCAGGGAAGAGGCGCCTGGGTGGCTTAGTCACTTAAGCATCCGACTTTGGCTCAAGTCATGATCTAGCAGTTCATGGGTTGAGCCCCACGTCAGGCTCTGTACTGACAGCCTGCTTCAGATACAGTGTTTCCTCTCTCTCTGCCCCTCCCTTGCTTGCACTCTGTCTCTCTCTCAAAAATAAACATTAAAAAAAATTCATAAAAAATTAAAAAAGCAGGGAATATGCCATAACATCTGGCTAGTACTGTGAGTATTATACCTAATAATGACACAGTTATCATACTTAGTAATAAATCCTGACATGCTCATTTTTTTCATGTTCTAATATCTCTGAAATCACGATGCATCTTAGTCAATGATTTTTAAAGCATTTTGTCATAGTATAATTGACAATGTTTTTTCTTAATTGTATACAAAATAATGCCTGTTTCAGTCAGTGGTGTCTTCGATGAACTACATTAGGGATTTTTTTATATTCTTTGTATAAAAACTATTAACCGTGTAATAAAATTATTTAGGTTCCAACTGGTGTTATATTGATTGTCAGATGATACGTAATGTAGTAAAACTTGAGATACGGGTTTTTTTTGAAAGGACACTATCCTGAGTGAGTATTCGCTGAGCATGTAAGTATCAAAGGGATGAAGGGCACAGAAGAAGCTCCTGACCTCGAGGTAGACCCAAGAACTTGAACTCAAAGCAAACAAGGAGAGCATTTTGTCCAGAGGAAGGCAGAGGAGGTAGCAAGAAAACTGGCTTGCCTGGCATTGGGGTTTTCATGTTGGGGGTCTGAGAGGTCTTTTTTTTTTTTTTTTTTTAATGTTTATTTATTTTTTGGGGACAGAGAGAGACAGAGCATGAACGGGGGAGGGGCAGAGAGAGAGGGAGACACAGAATCAGATACAGGCTCCAGGCTCTGAGCCATCAGCCCAGAGCCTGACGCGGGGCTCGAACTCACGGACCGCGAGATCATGACCTGGCTGAAGTCGGACGCTCAACCGACTGCGCCACCCAGGCGCCCCTCTGAGAGGTCTTCAAGATCACACTGAAAGGACTTAGATCCGATGTCAAGAGCAGAAAGGCTGGCACTCTGGGAGTTCGCGTTGAGGCTTCAGAATATTACCTCTGGGTTGGCAGTTAAGCCAGAAAAGAAACTAAAGGGTTGAAGCACTCTTCCTGAGCATTTCAAGTGTGTCTTTTAGCTTAACCCTTGAACCAGGAAGGCCGAGTTGATGGTGCTGCTCAGTAGTCTCCCTCCTCACGCTGCCTATTTCTCCCTCACAGATCGCCTTCTCCCAGCACAGCAATTTTATGGACCTGGTACAGTTCTTCGTGACTTTCTTCAGGTAATTTCACTTCTACAAACCATATCCTCTCTTTTGATTCAGGTACTAAATCCCATTAATTATCAGCTCATAAAAGATAAATGAATAATCTGGTGTGGGCAAAACAGATCAAACTAACTTAATAGGCCTTTTTGAGAAGTTACATGTTGGTTGCAATAATGTAAATTCAGTGTAATCTGATGAATGAAAACATTTGCTTTGTATGTTCTGGCTTTTGGGAGCAGCTTTTCATGTATTCTATACTAAAATGTAGATAATTTGGACCTTCATATGGGGAGGATTTGGGGTTGAAACAATCAATAATGATTACCAGTGTGTGCTACCAATATGCTTCTTCTTGTTCAGGGATGATTCAGGTGATTATCCAGAGTTTTTAAGCTAAAAGTAACTTGTTACTTCTTGGGATTCTTTTATTTTTAACTTCGTTTTTATGAAATACTGTATACACATAATTGAAAAATACACATGCTCCAGATCTCATAAGAGAAAGTAGCAGCATCCTGCCCCACACCTTCCCATCCCTTACTTCCCTCCAGTTTAAATTGTCTTAAGGATATTTAACTTCTCCATGCTTACACTATTTCTTGATTTTCCAGTTCACTCTATCTTTCGATGTCCCACTATAGATGAGGATTCATTATCTCATGTAACCTCACCCAACAACTCCCCACACACCACGAGTGCGAAATCCCCTGCCTTCCCCCTCATGTCATATAGTTACATCACAATGTTTGGCTAAATCAGCGCTCCAGTTTTTGTTGTTATAACTGTAAAACCCCTATTCACAGCTGGGTTGAACTATGATTATACCTCCCCATTTTTTGGATGGGGGAATCACTCTTTGTTTATCGTAACCTGGGTTTTTTCATTGTTTGGTTTTCTATGTAACTAGCCCTGATTTGCTTTTCTATGTAACTAGAACTGAAAAATCTGTCTGTGGTCAGACATAAGCAGGTGTAGTCTCCTGGTTTCAGTTTCTCTTGGAGATGTCTGTCCTGGAGCCCTCCAGTCTGCTGCCCTTGGTGCGCTAGCTCTGGAGGCCTGCTGCACGATTACCATCTTGGGAACTTCTTCTGCCTTCCTCTTGTGTTGAAATCTCTGTTTCCAGGATCTCCTGTCATTATCTCCCTATTTATTTCTTCCTTTTATTGGGGCACGTTCTCCAGGAGTTTTGAAAAAAGTTGCAGGGGAGGTAACTTTTCTGTAACTTTCTCTGTCTGAAAATGTTCTAATTTTACCTTCACGTTTGATCAAAAGTTTGAATGCAGAATTCTAGGCTGGAAACTATTTTCCATTAGAATTTAGAAGACGTTAATGCTATTTCTTCTAGCTCCCAGTATTAATATTGAGAAGGCTAATACCATTATAATTCCCAGTCCTTGTATGAAATCTATTTTTAAGTATACTATAAAATTACAGAAACACTTATAGAGCAGGTGTCCAGCTCAATAAATTATCACAAATTAAACATGCACTTTAGAAGCTCCCCGTGTTATCAGTCACAGCCCCTTCATTCTTCCCCAAAAATAACTACTCACCTGACTTCTAAAGCCATGTATTGGATTTGTCCATTTAAAAATTTTACAGAAGGGGTGCCTGGGTGGCTCAGTCAGTTAAGCATCCAAGTCTTGATTTTGGCTCAGGTCATAATCTCATTATTGATGAGTTCGAGCTCCACATAAAGCTCTGCATTGTCAGTGCTTGAGATTCTGTCTCCCTCTCTCTCTGCCCCTACCAATAAACTTGAAAATTTTAAAAAATAAAAATTTTCATAAAATCACTGCAGAAATTTTAAAACAATTTGAATGATCAAGAAAAATTCACTTGTAAGATGCAGTTAAAGTTGTACTTAGAAGGTATGGCTTTAAATCTGTGGTTCTCAACCTTGGTTACACAGTAGAATCACTTGGGAAGCTTTTGATGCCCGTGCCACATCTCAGACCAGTCATGTCAGAATCTCTGGGGATGGGACTTAAGCATTTGAAAGCTCCCTGGTGATTGCAGTGTGCAGCTAAGGTTGAAGATCACTGCTTTATAAAAAGCACATATTGGAAAAGGAAAAAAGCTTTCTCAGTAAGTCAGAAAAAGAACTAATTAAACCTAAAGAAAGTAGAAGGAAGCAGTATAAATAGAGTAAAATTAATGTTACAGGGGAAGAAGTACAGTAGAGAGAATTGAAAGAACCGCAAAGTTGGATCTTTGAAAATAATAATACTGATAATCCCTTGGCAAGATTGACCAAGAAAAAAAGAGAGAAGGTATAAATAATGTCAAAAATTTAAAAGGAAGCATTACTCCAAATGCTGCAGACATTTTTTTCCTCCATAAGAGTATTTTATGAGCAACTTTATGCAAATAAGTTTGAAAAGTGAACAAATGGAATGGAACAGTTAAAAAAACAAAATTATCTACAACTTACTGAAATTGATACAGAATAGGAACTTGAATATTGGATAGCCCTATATCTGTTTAAAAACAATACATAACTTAAAATTTTCCCACAAAGGTAACTCTAGGCCCAGGTGGCTTCATTGGTAATTTATAACGTTTTAAGGAAGAAATAATATCATTATTAACCAAATCTTTTAGAGAACCAAAAAAGAAGGAATACATCCCAATTTATTTTATGAATTTAGCACAACCTGACAAGAATATTGTGAGAATGGAATTTACAAGCCAATCTCACTCAGGAATGAAGAAGCAAAAATCCACTATGACCCAGTTGAGTTCATTCCAGGAATTGCAAAGTTGATTTAGCCTCAGAAAAATCAATCCATGTAATTAACATTAATTGCATAATAACGGAGGAGAATAATAAGATCATCTTAATCAGTGGGGGAAAGCATTTGATAAAATTTGATATCATTCATTAAAAAACTTTTAGGAAACTCAGAATAGAAAAAACTTCTTTAAATCTGATAAAGGACCAATGTATAAAGCCAACAGCAAACCACATTCTTAATGGAAAAATGTTAGAAACTTTCTCTTCGAGTTTGGGAACAAGACAGATTCTACTTACCAATTACTTCATTCGACATTGTGACAAAGGTTCTAGCCGATACAGTAAGAGAAGAAAAATAAAATAAGAATTGAAAAAGAAAAATCATCACACTTGCAACATGATTATGGGAGGAATTCAAAAGAATCTGCATAAAAAATGTTAGAATTAATAGGTGAATTCAGCAAAGTAGCTAGACACAAGGGCAGTATTAAAAAATCAGTTTTATGTCGTTCAGAGGCGTACATCTTTTGCAGCTCTTATTGGTAAAGGCAGATGCTGTCATGAAAACCATATAATTATATTTCCCATAGTAAGCCATGGGGTGCCCTCCCCTTTCTACCGTGAAAGGAGAAATCCCTTCCCAAGTGATGTTGGAACGCAGATGGCCTCACATCAAGATTCATCCACATCCTGATGGGTCCCCTTCTGCCTGCTGTAAACTGTACCCTTTAGTTTCTGGATGACGACGACATCTCCACCAAGAAGTAACCGTTGCAGCCCTCTAATCTTGGAGGGAGATAAAAGAATCTAATAAAAGCCTTCAGTGTTTCTGGGGAAAAAATCAATTATATTTCTACATTTCACCAATAAAAATGAAATTTGTATATTTGTATTACTTCGGTTAATAAGTTGCTCAAAATTACAGCATAACAAGATCAAGAATTACCAAGAAAAAATGGAGAGGGTGGGGAGACTGTCCACTGGCCCTCCCAGATAGTAAACATTTTGTCAAGCTACAGTGGTCAGTGTGGCACTGGCACAAAATCAGATTGACCAGTGGAATATATACATAACGACCAAAATAGATAAAGTTTAAAAGGTTCCGATTTGTTTTAAGTGATAAAAAGCTAAATAGAAATAAAAAGTAGATAGTAATATACAAGAAGGTATATTACTTAACAGTATAGACTTAACAGTCACTAGTCACATGTAGCTCACAAGCACTTGAAATATAGCTGGTGTGACTAAGAAAGTGACTTTTTAACTAATTTAAATATAATTTAAAAACTTCTACTTGATTCAGTTACTAGAGAACTTTTTAAGTATGTTTAGAACAACCTGGATATGTGAATCTACTTTTTCACTTGTGGATTTTAGGAAATTTAAATACAGATGAAATATTTTCTGGTAAAAATTTAGTGTTCAAATTGAGATGTGCTTATTAGTATTAAATACACACTGGATTTTGAAGACTTAGAATATAAAATGTCTCAATTTTTATACTGGTCACATGTTCAAATGATGTTTTGGCAATCTTGGGTTAAATAAAACTATTTTATTAAAATTAATTTCACCTGTTTCTTTTTACTTTTTAATGTGGCTACTAGAACTTTTATAATTACATATGTGGCTCACATTAAATTTCTATTGAACAACAATGTCTAGATAACGTAAAGGGAAAAATTGGTAGGGACGACATAAAAAGATACGATAAAATAATGCTAAACTAATCCAAGTATTTGAAAACAAAATATTAAGTCTTCATTCAGACTTTTTAAAGTAGAAAATTAGCATACAGATAATTCTCTTATAAAACATCAAAAGTAGTTTATGTTCGTAGTAAAACTTCAAACAACGTAAAAATTAAAATTCAAACTTCTCCTAATTCTACTTTTAAGAAATTATCACTGTTAATATTTTGATGCATGTGTTTCCACAGTTTTTTCTCTCTATATATGCTGCGCGTAAGTTCTGTTTTTTTCTGATTCTTTGGTTTATAAAGTGGGTTCCCTGCTTACATGTTGTTCTATAACTTGTCTTTTTATGCCATGTTTTATGGTTAACTTTCCCATGTGGAGATTCACTTCATTTCTAAACAGCTTTTCTCATAGTACAAGTACCACATTTTGTTTAACCAGTCCTCTTTTGACTGACTCTTAGATTGTCTTCAATTTTGTTACATATACCTTTACGTTTTTCTATGAAGATCTCTCTGGGATAGCTTTTATGTCCCTATAATTGCTGCATCAAAATGCAAAAACACTGCCATGGGCCCTCA